CAATCTAGTAACAGACTGTTTTTATTTTGTAGGTAGGTTACTACGTTTAATCTGGGATGGCATATGTATTGCAGCACGATTTAACCAAAACAAAAGAAAAAAAAAGAAAAATCTGCTTGAAAAAAGAAAAAAAGCAATTCATATTAATTCACTTTACATTTTTACAGCCTTCAAGTACAGCGGCAGTTAAAGGCGGTGATTCGACCACCTCTCCTGCTAGCAACGCCCCTAAATAGGGAGTCCTTCGAGCACCTGGGAATTGAATCCAAATAAGAAATGGTGATCATTGTTACAGAATTATATAAATTCTTCTTAAATAAATAACAAGAAACGTTTGAATTTAATAACAAATTTATTTATTTGGCTACATAGGGTAAAAACTTAACTGAGCCACCAGTGATGGTATATCAGAAACTATTAGATTTAGAGAAAACTTTTAATAGGGAACTTTAAATAATTTCTCATAACTTGAAAAATGAATTCCACTTTTTTTTGGATTGGCCGCCGTATCCAATATATTTTCTAGGATTAAAATCTTGTCTTATTCAAGACCTCATTAAGACCTCTGTCATAGTCAATCTGTAAACTACCGGTACTTATTTTTAACTCACCTAGATTCTTATGAAGGAATGCATTGAAATGCTAGAACAAAGTTCTAAAGAAATCTTGAGCTTGAAACTTTAAAAGAAAAAGGTTAAACATGTAGTACTTGTCAGTGATCCTGGAATTTAGGTCAGTGACCTAGGTTTCAAACTTAAAGGTTCATTTTCAAGCTGATACCAAGTCATCAGGTCATGACTCATCTTTAGCTGGCTACACCACGCACGCTACCGTACCAGTATTATAATTGGCCAATTTTTGTTTAATGTTCAGTGTTTTCTTGTTCGTGTCTCATGTGTTATAACGACTCTTCACAGTAATGAAGAGGATTGTGTGTTTGGAATGCGTTTTCAACTTGGTATCAGCTTGAAAATGAACCTTTAGGTTCGAAACCTGGGTCGCTGTCCTAAATTCCAGGATCACTGACAAGTACTACAGGTATTTAACCTTTTTATTAGTAAATTACGTGATCCAGAGGCTAAACATGTAAAAATTTAAATACCCCCGCCGCAGCAAACCTGCAGACTAAGCGAATTTCCATTTGACTGATTGGATTTACACTGAAATAGTGAAATGTCTACTTAAAAATATAACATTTCCCGATTTAAATAGAATTAGTTTAGCAAGTACTTAGGTTTGCTGCATCAGGGAGGGTAAAACCGTTTTTTTTTTTGTAAAATGTTAGTAGTTAGTAGGAAATAAAAACATTTTCCAAATTTGATCAAAATATGTTCATAAACAAGCAAACTACAACAGTTTACTTATTCTCCATAAGAATAACATGGGAATTTTAAATTTAAAATTTTTTTAAATTTTCTCCGTAACCATTAGGCGCATAATAACGCTTCTGTATACTAAATTATTTGTTTTTTTAAGCTCTACAAAATGGTTTGGAAAGAAATTGCTAAATTTTATGTTTTTGGGGTCAAAAATGGGAAAAACCTATTTTTACCCCATAAAACCCCCCGTACACCCCCGTTCACATGGTCCGATCATGCTGGATCGCGAACTCGTTCGAATAAACGTAGGTTTACACGTTTGTACCAAATTTCATCAAAATCGGATCATTTTTGCTCGAGTTATCGTGCTAACGGACACATATATATATATCTATAAATATATAAATATATCAATATATAAATATATAAATATATATATATATATATATATGAATTTGAACGGATGGTGTTTTTGGCCTCTAGGGACCTCAAAACGAAAAAAAAAATCGGTCCCGCGTCCAGGTCTTACCATGAGTACTACGGTAATAGCTTATTCCCTATATGGGAAATTCGCTAAAAGAAATAATAATAACAGTGTTGCCTAACAAGTGTTCTGTACTCCTTGTTTAAGTTTGAGTTTTAACAAGACATGTTTCCCCCAACTTTACACAAGTTTTAAGATTGCTACACAATGCACTAATACCCTTGTCACTTAAATGAAATTTTAGTGTAATGTCATGCTTAATTTCCCAATGAATGCTGATGAGGGGGATATTTTGAGTGAGGGGAAGGGGGGCAAGAAAGGCCAAGTCAGCAGCCTTAATGAAGGAGGGTCTCATGTTAATTGGGAAGTCTTGGCGTAATTTGGTTAGCAGGCCCCAAAACTGAGGAAGAAGCTAAAATTTTAGGTGAATAGCTTCGTTATCAATTAATGAGACTATTTTTGTAACAGAGAAGTATCAAGTATCTAAAAAATAGATTGAGTATTAATTGCAAACAAAGATTTCCCCAGATTATTATTGTTTTAAAATGTTCTTTAAATTATTCCAGGTGAAACACCACAGATACATTATGAAGGGATGTCAATCAATGGTGTTTAATCAATGGGTTAGGGAACATATAAATTTGGTCTGAAAACTAGTGGTGGCAAAAATATCAAAGGGTTTTAAAGAAAAACGTTCAAAAATAACACTCTTATATTTTCACGCTGAGGAATCAAATTTTACTTATCCAGACATTCAACGAGTGTCATATAAACATTTTTATAACAAAAATATGTTCAATTTTGGAAGCAAATATTAGTTTAAATTAGAACTATATAGGCTAATTAGTTGACAATTTCTGAAGATAAAAATAAGATTTTTTTACCAAACAGATAATTTAAAGATTTTCATTGAATCCACATTATTGAATCGATGAATGAGTTTGTTTTAGGTGAATAATTCACAAGTAAAGACTTTTTTATAATAAAAATCGTGAATATTTTCAACACTCTGTGTATTTTAAGGCACTTCATTAAAAGCAACTTGGAGGGATAAGCATGTTTATGTTACTTTGAAAGGGGGAGCTGCATTGTCTTGGTCTGATCTCTCAGAGTCATTATAACAGACAACCAAGATTTATTTAAGCTCATATTGGAGAAGACACTGTACCTGTACATGTGAAGTGGTAATCAGATATATCCACGAGTACTGTAGTTTGAATTCAAATAAACAAAAATACACAAACACAGTTATATTTTCCCTCTTTTAAGGCAGAGATATTGATTTTGTTAAATTAATGTAGTAAGGGAGTGTAATATTCTTAAATATTTTGTTAGTAAATCATGTTGTCAACAAATTTTTATGGTTTGTAAACAATTGATGCTGTATACATTATTATTAAAGTATGCGTAGTTTCTTATTTTCAGTTTTTACAAATCACCAATGGTAAAAAACCGATTGTCAAAGACTGTATGTTTGGTTAGAATAGAATGGACATTTGACACAATTATTGTGTATTTTTTCCATTTTAATAAAAAAACATTAGATTTAAGAAGTAACCTGAAGAAATATTTGGACATATAGTAATTCATATCAGTACAAACAATATTAATTTTACTCATCCTCATAATCCAGATTTCTGATGTGGTGTTATAATTTCTGTTAAAAGAGTAAATTAAAATAAACCTTTTCGCTTATATATTTAATTATTAATTATTTAATTATTTTTAGACTATAAAAATCAAAATGTATATAAAGTTAAGAAATATTAGTCAGGCATATTAGTTATTTATATCTTGCTTCAGGTTATTTTAAAAGCGGTCACATCAGAAATAAGTACAAAGTAAAATTCAAATTGTCACTAATTTATCTTCTTGCAGGTTTTTCCAGGAATTTGCAGATAAAGTTTGTGATCTTATGCTTATGAGGATTGCCACAAAGTTATAAGCTTTTTGGTTATAGCTCCCAAACTACAAAATTGTTTTCCAATTAACCAATAATCAAAGCAATTACCTATATCAAGTTATTAAATCGGTAAGGCTTCTCCTTGGTTTAACCACATCAAACTTCCTTTGCTGGGAGTTCCTGGAAAACATGAATTTATGAATATGGCTTCTTGGTTGGATCTAACCAAACGTTTGCATTTTAGATAACTTACAGTAACATGTAATATTTACAGGTTCAATAAACAAGCTACAAATGATTTTCATTGAAAATTATGATAATTTTTCTTTGGATTTTATAACAAAAATTTAGTAAAAAGAAATATTCTAACATTTTCATCTCTGTGTTATCCGACAATGAGAAAAAGTCTCGCGACTGCAATTTCCATTAAAAGTCCTTTCTCCTTCTGCATAGCTCTAATTAAAGAGTAATTTCAGGTTTTTAATTTTTGCAAAAAGAGGGGAAGGCTGGTGCTGTGGCACTCTTGCACAATTTATTATTTCCATTCCCCCAAAATCAGCCTCCATGACAAAGCACTTGACAATTCCCCTTCTCAGATTCAAAGCCACAAGTCTAATTGTATTATAATTGAACAATCTGAATACTGAAATCTGCCCTTGTTGTTAATTGAAAATGAATTTTCCTGACGAAGCTTTTCATTTGTGCCTTCTCCATGCAAAACCTCAATTCTCTTCTAACACCACATGGCAAACCACAATTAAACGATGGGTTTGAAAATTTATAGACAAAATCTCTTTGTCACACATACCACTGCTGGTTTTATGTTTTCTAGAGCCCCTTTTCTAGTTTTCTACTTCTACACTGAAAACCGTGCATCGTACAGAAAAAATGTAGGGTATAAAAAGAAAGATGATGAAATTCTCTACAATAAAAGTGTTATTAGTTTTTTCTGTATATGCATTAGTTTCCAAGATATTCTCAAAATAATATATTAAAAAATTTTCCCCCTCTCCATATCCTTGCAATCTCTTCAATGACTGGACTAGTTTCCATTTGCCACATTGCAAATTCTTAATTAGCCTATTGTATATTTCAATCGCAATTCGAGCAATGATGAAACTGTTATTGTAAGTTAATACAATATTTTTGGATTACAATAAGTTATAATAGAGGCAAACAGTTAAATTAGCAACAGAGAAGTAATATTTTTAAATATATCATAATAAACAAACAAACCTTACTTACTTGGATAAGATTGAGTTGAACGTAACAAGGAATAATGAAAACACAAGGATTAATTTCCATAAAAATTAATTATAATTCACATTATTTTTACTCATATATACAATATTAAATATAATACTAATTAACCGTGCCGTATAAAAAAGCCTAGCACAGTTGAAGCATTATCATTAAAACTAAAAATATTCTTTATCAAAACCGGACGATCGACACTCCAGTACAAGCTAGTAAACTTCTTATCCGAAGACAATTTGTAGCTGAACGGGTATTATAATATATAAGTAAAATGAGTATGTACTTGAGGAACCATTCTATTGTGGCAGTGAATCGAATCCAAAACGATACAATCTATGCAGCAACCAACATAGAGCCTGCTTACAAAAATATTTCTCTCAAACTGAGGAGCTACCTAAACAGTATGTGGCAATAATCAAACATAATAGGTTACAATCACATATTGCCCTAGTACAGCGCAACAGAGAAATTAGGTTTGAGCAACTTATCATAAGAAACAACATTTAATGGTTGGAGTATTTTGGTTGGTTCGACTTTATAGTTTCGCTCATTTGTTTACCATCTTTGTCAAAATATTATTATTCCGAGGGTTCAAACCATAAAAATAAAGCTATCAAAGTGTCAAATATCCACACCACACAAATATGACAATGAGTAAGCATTTGTCAGGAAAAGATACAATTAGAGGGTAAGATAGAGAGCAAAGAAGATAGAGAGATTCAGTTCTATTGTTATAAATATGCACATTCTTTTATTGCCAGCACCATCAGAACATCTTAGGAGAATCAGAATCACAATGCTTACTTCTGTACCTGAGTTTTAAACGTAAAAAAAATACTATCTAGGATCCAGAATGGCGTGTTAACTACTTCAGAAAATAATCTACTTCACTGAACCATTCTGATGTGAAAAAAACCTAACGGTACAGAAGTGAACTACCACCAGAGTTAACATGTTAAGTATTAGACTACTCGTTGGAAAATTAGGAGAGAGCTAAACCTTCGGTTTCTTTTACAGATTGATAATCTGAGGTGAAACATTATGTATGAGAATTTAGACATTTGACATTATATAAAATCTTCATTGGTTTTCAAACTATACAAATGAAACAGTAACGTCCTATAGCAATGATATTTTGTCCTTGCTAGATTCATAGGAAATTATTAGATGAAGATATATACAGCAAAAAATTTTTAATTAACTGACTCAAATGAGCATTTCTTTGTGATGTACACTGGGATCGTTTCAAACGCACACTATTTTAGCAAAGCTCGTTAATACTAATCCCCTTCAAAAATAAAAAGCATGAAAAGACTACAATATTCGTTTAACTCGATAGTAATTTACTTCTCTGCGTTTGCTTTGCAAGTCAAGTTGTTTGATTTATATACAGTAAATCTGAATGAATTGTTATGGAATTTATTTACGACATAAATGTTTCTGAATTACGTTTTTAACAGGCTAAAACACTCCTTAAGTTTAAGACTTTGGATTACGTTATGTTATTAAGACCAATTTTTGTACACTTTTAAGCAACTTGCAAAGGAAACACTGAGAATCCAGCTAATCTAACCCCAAACAAATCTAATTTACACAGAGTTATTTATACCGTATCACAGACCCAAAGAAAATATTTATCTTGCCAAGATCAGCTTTAAGGGGCGTATTAAAAATGAATACACTTCAAAAGATATTTTTACATTATTTTTACAGTAATTAACACTGATTTCTGACGTGTTTTTATATTTGAGCCCTAGTTTGAAAATGTAAAATCATCTAATTAAGAAAATATTCAAAATCAAGTTACTAAAAAAACAGACAAACACAGGGATACACAAATACATAAAACTTACACTAAAACGTTTACAGTCTTGCAAAGTAATAAATAATGAGTTAAAACTAGACAAATCCTACAATAAGTGTCCCAGAGTTTTTGTAAATATTTAACTCATCGGGTCACATTGAAAGAGTCTAAAAATGAGTATAAAAATATTATACACAACTAACCTAAAGAAAATAATGCTAGGAATAAAAACCATAGAGCACCCTAGTCTACAATAAACACTAACACTTTGATAAAAACTAGAGCTCAAACTGAAATGACCTAAATACACATGGCAACCTAGACGAGTGGACTTCTGTAGATCTCGTTGGGATGTGTGTTCTGGTTGCTGTCATTCTGGCGAGTACTGCATTGCTGTAAAAAACAGTAAACAACATTCAGTCAAAACTTATGTTATCAAAGCAGACATTAAAGACACTTACATTCAAGAACACATTACATTAAAAAAGCTAAACATAAGTAACCTGTATTTGTCATAGATCAAACAGTCTATTTGAACAGTTTTGTATTCTATAAAACTCAGTCTATAGAATATACCATATTAGTACTATAACTAAAAGCCTTGCAGGGCAGAACATTTCCAATCTTACTAATATTATAAATGTGAAAGTTTGTGTGTTTGTTTGTTTGTTTGAAGTTCAATCACGCATAAACCATTGGACGGATTGGGCTGAAATTTGGCATGATGATAGCTCACATTCCCGATTAACATATAGGCATATTCTTATCTCAAAAATCCTTTCGGGCTCCACCCCAGTGGCTCTGTAGTTCGCCATGTTAACCTTATGAGTATTCATATTTAAAGGGAATTAAAGAATTTAGTCAGCTGTTTCAAATAAAAAATTTGGTTCTTTGATGTACAAAAGCATAAAAGGTTAAAAGATTTACCAACAGGGTGCAGCACTATAATTTGTTTGTATTTATTTAAATAGCTAATTTGAACTAAGCAACAAAAAAAACTGCGATACGCAATGAGAAGTGTCAAAGTAGGATTGTTTACAGTTATGTTTATGTTTTTAATGTCATAAATAATTTGTGATTTTTTGCGAATGTTTAATAATTTATTTTTCTTTATTACTTAGGTGAAATGGTAAAAAATAATGGCTATGGTAGATGTGTAATACCATAGTATACCACAAACATATGAAACTTATATGCCAACCCCGTACGAAGGACGGGTACTCTGCTAGTATAGAATATTCTCTTAACTTAAGAAATCTATCCTTCAATTTGAGATATGTGGACCTATAGTTTAAGTTGGTCAATAATTACAGAATTGAGGCGTAAATTCATGGCTAAAAGTCGTTGGTAATTCGTAACATTTGAACCCTGATACCTCCAGGTCAGAAGTCAGCTGTGTTCTTAAAGCTAAACCAGACGCACCCCTTTATAATATGAAGCTTTACAATGATTTCACCACATAATTTTTAAGTACAACGGAAAAATCTGTCAAAGAAGGGAAAAATACTAATGAACAGTCAGCCAAATTCTCAAAAGAAAGCATTCTATTTAAATCCCCCCAATAAAGAAGCACTGACTCAACAGTGCGTCATGGTCAGTAGTCATGGTTGCTAAGAATCTTTATGATATAACCATATTGTCATACCCAAAAAATTAAAGTACAAAAAGTTTTCAAAATTGACAACCAACCTTACCACTCTTGGACCATCCTTTTGCTTTACCTAACAACGTCTAGAAATTAATTGTCAAATTCACTCACCGCCTGTTTGCGCTCCCAAGTCTTCATGGCGTACTTGTACTTCTCAAACTCGTGACACCAGTCAGAGTATATCTTGTGATAGTCGTGTGACTTGCCAGGAGGGGAACAGCGATGAGTGTCAACGGTGATGTTGTAGGAACACAACAGAGAGCCACCGAGCCAGCAGTCGTAGCGACCGGAGTCTGCCTCGTTGACTGTCACAATCACCAGGCCACGCTCACACGTCTCGATGTACTTGTCACCTCTGTCACAACAAGTTTAGCCCTGCAGTTAAAGAACTTAAAGAAGGCCAATGGCTGCTTGGAAACAATAGGGAACTAGGAGTAACATGAGTTTGTTAATTTTGTCACAGTAAAACTAATCTGGGAATTATGAGGGAAAAAATAAAAGGAATAAAAGAAAATTGATCCAGATGCTATTGCTTCAGTGATAGGTGAGGGGAGAAGTATGTTAATGGGCATAGATGAAGTACCTGGTCAGGATGAAGGATAGAACCCATGAAAGGAGCTAGGAATTAGTTCAGAGAAGCAACATGGTAAAGAAACCAGGGGTGGCTTTGTCACATAATTTATGGGAACATGTGCCAGTTTATCTGGTACTATGTCATTTTATCAGTAGGCTACGTAATTCCAATACCATTACAGGAAAAACTATTTACTGGTTCGGCAAAACCACTCATATTTTTCACTGGCATACAATGGTTGAACCATCATCATGTAAAGTCTAGATGAGTTTACTTTAGATTATAAGGTCGGATAAAAGATTTGGTTAGTTGGTTGGTTGGAAAATCAGTCCTAAAATACTAAATTTCTTTACATGCCAACTTTTTAACCAAGCTTTTAACTCAAAGGAGAATTTATTTTAAATTACACCATCTTTTTAATTCACGTCAACTATTATAGTATATCAAAATAGGGGGTAAAAAGAATTTTACTGTGGCACACTCTGTGAAAGCGTGTGAAACTACTAGAATAAAAAGGGTACAGCAGGTTCATTATTAAAACCCCAATCTGAAAACTGAAAATATAAAATACATTTCTGACCTGTAGATGATCTGGTATCTGCCCTTCTCCTTGCTGTAGTGGTACCAGGTGACAGTCTGAGAGCTGAGGACTTGTGGCATCTTGACAAAGCAGCTGAGATGTACACTCTGACCCCACGTCACAGACAACTTCTTCTTGATCACTGAACTCTCACACACACTAGCAGTGCTGTTTGTAACATCTTGCAGCAGCCTGGACAGTACGCATTGTGTTAGCGGGTATTGTATATACCTATATATGTAATTTAATGTCTGAAATGTGACATTGATGCATAACAATACTGTTAGAGATACATAATGTGGTAAATACATGGTGAAAATAAAAAAAACCTTGGAAAATTTTTTAGGGGTCCTGCAGGTTTCTAAAATTTAAGGGTCGGCTTGGGCAACCAATTGTGATCAGATCAGGTCAGAATTAATTTTTGGACTAAACTTGGGTTGAGTAATTTACATTATATAGTCTGCCCATTTGACTATGATACCCAGCGGATTAGGAACCTTCTCGGAACTCGACTCACCCTTCAGAGACACTCGCAAGGCTGGCCGTTGATAAAAAGTTTACCTACCTACTGTCACAGATCTGTAACTTTTTTTTTATTTTAAGTTACAATAGATTGTTCTTTGTATAGTTGAGTTCTACATGAAATTCCAAAGTAATTGTACCTACTTCTTTCAGATTGTAGATATTAAGTATCCACATCGTGTTCGGGCTCATTATTTTTGGAATTTCATGTAGAACTCAAATTTATAAAGAACTTTTAACTTAAAACAAAAAAAAGTTACAGATCTGTGGGACTGTGACAGTGGGTGAGTCACTGTTTGTCTCCGGCCACCTTAAGACGAGCGGGTCGAGAGGGTGAGTTGGTTCCGAGAAGGTCCCTAATCCGCTGGGTATCATAGCCAAACGGACGGACTATAGAAGTTTACACAAGATTTTATCATTTCACCTGGATTTGAGAAAGTGTATATGAAGATTGCACAGTTCAAAATTCATGATTCCACCGTAATTTCAGAGGATGCTCACGATTACGTCACAATCGCAGGAGATGATAACACATTCATCGACCAAAAGAAGACATTCACGATTTTACGGCAATTGAGGTATATATTATATAATATTTTGTAAACAAAGTGTTGTATAAAGATTTTTTTCTGGTTAATACTTTCCAGCAACCCTATTTTGGTATGAGAACAAAACATTATGATATTTGGTCCGACCAAACCTGATGAAAAAGTCAATAAAAAATTCTTGCCCACAGAACTCTAGAAAATATATGTGGTAAGGCTTTTGTAATAGATCATACCCAGTCATGTATGGTCTACAGGTATTGCTGTCCTTGTCCCAGCCACAGTAAGGGTCGTGTACACAGCGTAGACAGTTGTCATATCTGCGATTACACATGACCAGGTCTATCTGACGGATACGTTCATCCGACGCTACAATCAGCGACTTGGGCTGTGGACAGAGTAAAAAAAGTCAGCAAAGAAATAAACAGTTATAATATAGTCTAAAAATGAGCAGACAGCACCTTTTACTTTTACCCACAGATCTTTAGTACTTAATGTTATATTTTGTCTCAAGGGCCTAAAGTGACTCTTTTTGGGTCAAGGTCAAATTTAAGAACGTAGTCGAAGCGAAGATTGGAAAATGAGCAACCATGTTTTTCTTCATACTGCAGCATTCTTCAGGTTAAATAATTCACAAAGCGTAAATTTTGTAGGTTTTACTTCTATAATTTAGCACCGAAAATTTGATTCATCTTTCTTTGATATTATATAAAAAAAGTTGTTACTGATAGATGCAATGTGTAATAAATTCATCAACACAATACTATTTGCATATTGTATTATTGAAATTCTGCATTTCACTGTCTAAATGTTGAAGGATACAAGGATAAAGGGACCACTTTGGCTACAAAATTATTTGGTGGGTTATAAAATTAATGTATAAATTTGGGATAGTATAATAGTAAGTCAACCAGTTTCAACTGACCGTCCTAGATATCTCCATGGCTCTGATTGGTTCATTGGGAGTCACATCGAACACATCCAACAACACTGACGAGGCTTCTCCTTCATCATCGTACCACTGGACGATCTTGTAGACTCTGCCTTGGTCTGTAACAAATTAGTTTGATTAACATAAGTTGTACAGAAAAGTGTACACATACGGTATTTCAAAATGAGAAACACCCAAACCCCAGAGTAATAGAATTAGTGAGTTTTGACACTGCTTATAATCAATGAATACAGACCCTTAAAGAGGCTAAATGCGTATGGAGAATAGTCAGACTCGAATTTTGTCGTTGAAATGAGCTTCACGCGGCTGCCGTTAGGTTCGCTCGCCGGGCTACTCTTATCTCTATCTCTCCCTAAGCCAATTCTTTGTCTCACTCAGTCAGCTGACTTGGTCGTGCTAGATCTCGCGATAGACTACCTAGCCTAGCGGCCATGCTAAGCTCGAGCTTGTTGCAGTTGGCAAGAGTAAAAAATTTTTATTCCAGGGTTGTTTTATAAATTTTTGTGTAATTGACTTTTTTTGTTACCTACTTAAACGATCGAACTAGTTTTACAATTAATAAATCAATAATATTTTGTAAAAAGCTAAATAAGCCTTCTCGCACCTATAGTCAAACCAAAATATGAACTGATAAAAATATTCTGGCTATTCACAAGTGTGAGATGAAAATTAAGCGTAACAATAACAAATATTTTAACTGGGGTATTTTTCACAAATTAACAATCTAAGCCATCAATTTTTGTAGCATTGATATTTTTGAGCATAATATTTGTTTAAACTGCCAAAGCATTTACCTCTAACCCAAACATGATCCACCAATACTGTGTTTCCACAACTACGAACGCTACATTTATCGACATGATGCATCAACTGTAATTGTAAACACATTTCAACTGGGATATTTGACAAAACCAAGCCAATGCACATTTCATGCCCCTCCCCCTTAGTGTGTTGACAAGGGCAGCCATGTCTGATGTTTGGTTAAGACAACATTATCTCAGCACTGTTTAGAGTCCTTGTACCAACCCAATATTGGCACCCGTGGAAATGATGGATTGGAGTTGGAGTTTGCACTACTGTTTATTTATAATACACGAACACAGCGTGAATAAAGCACAAAATTTATCTGACAGTTTTTAACCTTTGAAAAACCTTAGCTATGAATAAATAGATATTTTATGCACATGAATAAAAGAAATCAGGTATAGTGAATTTAAAAATATTAAATTCAAATCCCATTGTTAAACTATATGATGAGATGCAGCAGGAGTAACTATGCTATTTTATGGGTCAAATAAATAAATTTAAATTACAATAACTTTTGAACCATTGTTGTTACAGCATTGAGGGTTGTACCATATTGTTTAAAGTCAAAAGTACCATATCATACTACATTGTCATTAAAATTGTTTATAAACACAATTTTCCCATAACAGTATTTTATGAATTTTTATGGGTAAACTTTACGTTAAAAACTAAATTTTAAAAACTCCTGGAGATACCAAGGATTAGTAGCCACATACCAATTATCATCAAAATCGGGCTACAGGTGTAGTCCGTAGCTCTGTACATATCCTAACTAGAGATGGGCTAAATGATTCCATCGATGTAGCCGCTACAATGATTCCAGCTACACTCGTGGACTCATTACAAGTAACCGTTCCGATTCCAAACGATTACTTCGTTACCGCCGTTACAGAGTAGCCGCAATCGACCGATTGCACTCGTAATCGTCATGGTATTGATACTCCGATGTATTCCAGTTACAGTAACGCCTTTTGAATCAAAGTTTACTGAAGCCAAATAAATATTTTTTTGGTTTGTATCGCAATAAATACAATTTAAATGAGTTTCCAAAATATAGGATTAATGAATTATTAATCATTAATCAATTAATCAATCATCTAATCTATCATTAATTAATTAAAATTTGTATATTATTACACAAATTTATACAATCAATTACTGTAGCAATTTGTAACAATTAAATCATTCTAAGGAAGGTTAGAATAAGCAAAACTACGAGATATGTTTTTGCACATTAATTGTAATCAACACAATTTTAACTAACATTTTTTTTAAATCATAGTGGATTAATTTAATCCTATAAACTGATTTGGATTTCGCATTCAAAAATATCAACTGTTCACCCACGGGTGCGAGGTGGTGGCGGAGTTAGTTAAGCGGAGCGAAGCGAAGCTCTTTGGGATCAACTTCAATGCAATATTTATAAGTGTTGGACTGGACTGTGGAATGGGGTTATCTCGCTTGTCAAGCAAGCTGGTAGCTGGACTCATTTACGGAATCGAAACGGCTTGGAATCATCTTCTCTAAACGATTCCAGGCACATCGATTTGCTACTGTAACGAAGTAATCGGAACCGGTACTCTGATACTTGAGTAACGATTACTTTAGCACCAACCATGTAATGATTACAAAGTAACGATTCCAGTACTTTGTTCCCACCTCTAATCCTAACACATGCAGACATCAAGCTTCAAAAACTCTTTTTATGGGTTGAGAGGGATCCAAAACAACATTACCACCCAAAATACAAACTAAAAAATGTTGACAAAATTAATACTTCCTCCATACACTATGTAAGTGATAGGAAGAGAATGTAAAAAATACAAACAAATTGGGACAAGCATAATAGTGATGTTTTGTCCTACTAGAGGACATACGAGTATTTCTGTTTTTATGTTGATAAGGATAGGTTTTTGTGTATACTGATCACAACTAATGGATAAAGCAATCATTTAATTTCCAAGGAGGTACTATTTAAAAAAAAGATTTGTTAAAAAGAATATTGGAGGTAAATGTAACTTTAAGTTCAAAACACGAGTAATAATTTATTGCTGGATACAGTCCATTCTACAGTTTCAGAAAATTCTCTTCAATCTACTCTCTAAAAAGTCCTAAATAAGGATGAAATTACAAGTGTTACATTTTGTCACCTCTACTGTATACCTGTAAGCTCCTAAACTAATTTTCAGTTAAGCTGGACTATTGAACTATCGGAACTCTAGTCCCTTAAAAAACAAGCAAGGTATAATTCAAATTACAAAATACGCTGAAGACTTACTGGTGCCGGCGTAGTAGACCGTGTACTCCATCTGGTCTCCGAACACGTCGTACTTGAGTTTGTCTACAACCAGATGAGTGAACAGTAGATCTCTCTTGTAGAACACTGGCTTGTCGTCCTTATGTGCAACGGCTGAGTCCATCAGCGGATGGGAGCGGATGAAGTTGAGAACAGTGTCTGCAACAGGGTACAACCACATGTGATGTGAACTGGGCGGCTCAAAGTATGGTGATAAAAAGGTTGGATACGTTTGTAAAGTTGTAAAAAAAAAGAAAAATGTCTGATAGGTATTACTTCTAAAACATCAATATTTTATAGTTTGCTAGTTAAAAGCCTTTAACACAAGCTGAATAAAAAACTAGTTTGTTGCAGCATTTGTGACTAGTAGTACTTGAGACTATAAACCAGATGGTAATTACTTTTTTGCTAGTGTCGATGACTAAAATTTAAAGCCTTATAGCGCAAATTTTTCATCAATCACGAAAATACACACAATTCACACGATTCATTGTAATTTGTGTAGGATTCTGAATCTGGAATTAATATTGACATACATTCCTCAAAGTATGACTAAGTTGTAATCATTCAATATGCAGAAAGTATTAATTAATATAATTTGTATCTGTTATTCATTTTTGTTTTCAGTATTTCTTTCACTTTACTCTTCCAAAGATTAGTTTTCAGCAACCCAGAGGGTAGTAATCTTGTCATATTTTAGAGTTATTTGATTTTCATACATCAGATCTACAGAACATGATTATTCTCATTAGCATTCATTTCCCGTGGCGATGCATGGGTATGGTGGCTAGTTACTGACATAAAATTGTTAGCTACAACAAACAATATAGTTAATGGCTACAACTTTTTATAATTAATGGCAAAACCCTTACAATATGAACTGTGGTAAAATAACCTACTTTATTCATCTACTAACTTTAAAATTATTCATAAAGTGGATTTTTAGAGAATGAATTAACTTAAGGAACAAAGTAGGTGTTCATTGAACCTAAAATTAGAACAATTTATTCCCACTTGTGAGGGGCTGAGAGGGTCCAAATCACTGGTTTTAATGATCCTTGAAATTTCTATTGTTGAGCTCAAATCGTTCCTTAATCTTACAGTTCATCAGACTCTCCTTTCTAGAGGTAAAATCCTCACACATTTTTGTTCTAATACTTCTAATTGGTATAGATTATTTAGAAGTAATTAAATACTTTTACAGTTGTAAAAAATTTCTCATAGTTTATAGTTTAGAGAAAAAGTGGAACTTAAAAAATCAAAAAGCAGTCAGTATTGATACACTTAGGCTAGGGCCACACTTGGCGACTTTGTCGCGGCGACTTTTTTTCACGCGACTTTGTCGCGACGACAAAGTCGCTGGGGGTGGCCACAATAGGCGACCATTTCAACCTTTCAGTTTACTTTTTTACTATACTAGTAAATAGGGTTTTGAGATGTTGTATTGTATTTTCAAAATGTTTCATTGATTATGGAAATAAATAAGGATCTATAACAGTTTTTGCATGTTTTGGACGATCTTAGAATATATCAATGTGTTTTACTATTATTTGCAGTATCGTACAATTTAAGCAAATCTTTTACAAATTAAATCATATAGTTACAGTATTTTCATACTGTGTCTCTTTATATTTCGTAATAGGTCACGTAATAGTTTTTGACAATTTACCTGCAACAAAAGAAATACAATTTTTACTAAATAAAAGTGTTAAATTATGTTTCTAAAACCAATGTGGACGTCTAAATCGTCAAATCACAGTGTAATTCTTGCTGTTTCTATTTATTGTATATCTAAATATCCCCGACACAAAAAAACCTGCAGACTAAGTGAATTTACATTTGTTTGGCTAGATTTCCACTAAAATATTCACTTAAACTTGTCGGAATTAATTCAAATTTAAATAAGATGAATTTAAATTAATGCTTAGGTTTGTTGGTATACAGATAAGGTAAACTAATGAGACGTGCTTGTTAATTTAAATTTTGCTTAGTATGAAATTAACAATATTGCGAAATGTTATTAAAATATATCCATAAACAAGCAAACTACAACAGATTATTCTCCATAAAAACGGGAATTATAATTTTACAATTGTTTCAATTATCTCCGTAACCATTAGGCTTACATCAATGCTTGAAAGGACAAAATTATTCATTTATTTAGCTTACAAAACTATATGGAAAATTTGCTAAAAGGAAGAGAAACCACAGGTATGGAGTGAAGTCCCTGAAACAACATTGTTTATGGATGGCGTATTTTAATATTGTAACTTTTTGTAGTATTTTTTTATGAGCGTAGCTTTGGCGAGCTAATGACATTGAAGACGACTCACGACATTTTAAAAATACACGAGGTTTTGGATTCATGTTATACCAGAAGAGTTAAATCTCATGTATGCTACAGGACACATGATAAAATGTCGACACTTATTTTGTCGGTGAAAATATATGTATTTTAAAAGCATATTTTCCTTATTTAACAATTGCCAGTCCAAAACTAAACAATATAGATATGAAAATAGAGCAGCAAAGGGTGTGTGAGCGAGCGACTTGTCGCCTAGTATGGCCGGTGCCATAAGATAACATGGGGAGCGTATTTGTCGCCACGACCGAAAAACGCTCCCGGTCGCGTTTATTTTTCTGTCGCTTGTGGTCGCTGGTCGCGAGTCGCTTAGTGTGGCCGCCTCCATTTAATTTAATGCTACGCACTTTCATCCATTGACGCCGCGACTTTGTCGCCGCGACAAAGTCGCCAAGTGTGGCCCTAGCCTTAGCTATCATTAAATCCATGTTTACATTTTCTATCTTCATTTCTGCTACAGGGATAAGGGAAATAGGGAGGTAATATTTTTATTAGATACGCAAGAGAACATGAGGTTGAATAATCCTAAAAGCCAATTTTGAATAAAATAATATTATTTTTGTATACAAAGTTAAAAAATAAAAAAGTGAGGCAGGACCTCAGGAGGTTAGGAGCAAGTTTGGAGGCAGCAGAAGATAGGCAGCAGTGGAGGAGCATTGTTGGCGAGGCCAAAAATCACTTGGGATTTGTGTGGCCACAGGAGTAAGTAAGTAAGTAAGTAAGTAAGTTAAAAAATGGAAATAACAACTCAAGGTATGACTATCGAAGGTCCGTTACACCCACAAACCAAATTTTATAATCTACTAGTGTAAACCAAACTGTCCTTGTTCTAGACTAAATAGTAGGACTCAGCAATAAATAGTAGGAAATAGCAAATCAGTTTAGTCAGTAACAAAGCTACACAAAAGGCATCTCACTTTATTCTACCTATTTCACCTTTGTCTATTCAACCTGATGTGTGAAACTTAATCCAATTTAATCTACTACGTCTAATCTAACTTATGTATAGACATCGTAGAGGAAGACATGTCCACATACCAGGCAGAGTCTCGGTATCATTGACACACTCGCCAGGTCTAGGCTCAGGCACTCTGTTGCTCAGGACTGGCAGCCAGGCTGAGCTGCTGGTAGCCTGCTCCTTGAACTTGCCCTTGAACACACGGTGGATGTCGTCCAGAGAGAAGGAGCAGATGGCAGACCCCATCAGACCTGTCGTGGAGGTGGTGAAGACTGCGTAGAACTTGGTGTCATCTCCTGGCACCTTGTAGATGCTCTCTACAACAGTGGGGAGTTGTGTGATGATTTAAGGAAGAAAAGCAAACAGATTACGCCATAGCTCAGAAAATTGAGTGTAGTAAGAAATCACCTATACTGACACACTTTTCCTCGTCCGAGATATTCCTACTCTTATGATATGCAAACTAAGCATTAACTAAGACTAACTTTTGCATAACTGCAAAGGAAATATACTCGTAAATGTATAAACAAAATATAGTTTAAAAATCATCCTATTGATCTAATTAAGGATCTTTTATACACAAATGTCCTCCCTATCTAAGATGCCATTTTGTTTTCTAAATAATGTATGAATGAAGTAAACTTTATCTAATTAAATAGGTGGAGTTAAAATTTCGGGGTATACATAAAAGATTATTAAAATTTTATAATTTAAGCCTGTTACTTTTCAAAGTACAATGATGTTTGTTAGATAGACCCCCTATTGTCTTAAGTTCACCCTATAAGTATAAATTACACAGGGTGTCCCATTGGCGAAACTTGTCTATTTGTATCTACTTATCAATATTAATTTTAAGTCACAAAATCCATTCAGATGAAAAAACTGAGTAGCAATTATGAGTAAATCTTAACTTTAACATGCACCTAACACAGGTAGAACAAAAGTAACAGTATGGTTATTGTACTAATCTTTAGTGGACCCTGTATGTATAGGCTTTTGGTAAAGGGATATCTCCAATAAAGATACAGTTCTCCTTGTCTATCCCTTGTGTTTTCAAAATAGGTATACATACAGCTTATGGGTTCTAAACTGCTTGGGCTCAGCATCACCACACGAAGACAATTGGTGGGATTTAAACCCTGAGCCGCAAGACAGCGATGCCCAGAGGACATCCTGTGCTCTAACCCCTTAACTAATAGACCAAATGAAGTAAAATGATCAGTGAGCCTTAGTGAGCCTTTAATGGTATTAAAGCAATGGGATATGAGAGGAATAGGAATGAGAATTATAATTACTGTCATTAAGAGAAATATTAAGAGAAACAAGAGGTCCTAGCTAGGGAGAAGCATTATAACTTCGATAAAATCCACTGGTGAGTGGCAGGATCACAAGTCCTCGGGGACCTGAGTCCTGCACTTTATCACTACAAGGCCAGCTTGCTCTCCAAAGAGTGATAAGTAGAAAAAATAAATGAAAATATTTTTAACATTGAAACCTAAGTGAGTAGAAACAAAACAGCTTAATTGTTGACTATCTAACTTGTACTCACGTATTTCATTGAAGTAAAAAGGGAACTCGCCGGGAATGGAGCAGTTAAGCCTCGCTTTGAGATAGGTCGCCCAGTTTTGGTTGAGGATGTTTTTGCCACCGGTGTCCCGTTTGCAGACCCTTGCCACTCGAGAGTACACGTTCTTGCCACAATTGATGTATTCCACAGCCGTCTCTCGGAAGAAGAAGAACACGTACTGGCCGATGTCGTATGATCCGACAAACTGCGGCTCTGCAAACAAATTAGGGTTGAAAACTAATAAGATATTTTTATACTAAGTCACCCTGCATTTATAGTCAGCTAATACGAGGGCAATGTGTATAAATGTATGGGTAACTTAAGTGATTAAGTAATTACTGATGCGTAAATTCTTAAGCATGTTTCCTATCTCAAATCTAGCAAATCTAGTTAGAGAGGCATATTTAGTGAACTAATAAGTCTGTCTTTTCTATTCTAAGTGGGTGACATAAAAGAAATTTTATTTTTTGTAAAGAAACAGTTTTAAGCATGGTCTTCTTGTCAGACAATGTTGACCTTTTTCCATTATTAACTACAAACTTGAAACCTGTTTTGTATTCAATCTTTCAAACTACTTATCCTGCTTAACATTTCTTTGAATTTCTAGGAACATTGATTGACCATCATATTAAATATGCTGTTAGTTTGTCAACATCGTATTGCAACTCCGATTTTACATAATAAATATGAATAAAGACATGAAAATAGTTAAAGTTTAAAGTTTTCAATTTAAAAGAGAAAAAAGTCATTCTGCAGTACAATCTGCAACACTTTTGATCAATTCTCAGTGAATAAATCAAAATCAGATTCACAAACTTTAAAATAAACGAAATGGAAAGTTCCGTGCATAACTTTCTTTTAAAATCTTATTTGCAATTTCAGAGCGGAAAGCTGGGAAAAGGCGGAAAAGTTGGAGAGAGTCAAGTAGTTATCTCGTTTCAAACTTTAATGCAGATCTTACTCAGTGCTTGGCTTACATCTACTTAAAAGTTTCCCTCTAAAAATCTGACGCCTTAAGTTGGTAATTGATTAGAAATTAAATTAAATTCAAGATAAAACGTTTCTGTCTCATAACCGAAAAACATTTGTTGAGTTTGAGAAGCAGATTTCTAACACTGGATTAGTTTACTTTACAAAGGTAAATATTTCAGTAAGAATTTCTTTATAAATTTATATGTTGATATTGTTTTTTAAAATCTGTGCTTAATGCACTGTAGTCTCAATAAAACGTCTAATTTGAATGGCGTGAAAATAATTTTCATTAAGTTAAGGCATGATTGAAAAGTTAGGCAAGGGGAAAATACTATTATTTTAGGCCGAGCAGCATACACTGCTAATGACTCAATTGAACTAAATTATTTTTAACCTAAATCTGGCAACATTTAAAACATAAATGGAATAACTAATTCACAATAATGTTTAGAAAATATATAGTTAAAAAAGTTATGAATATATGAGGGGATTGGAAAAAATATCTTTTAATGTTACAATAAATCTTACAACAAATAACTTAGTTATTAAACAACAAGACCAACATATTTGCATTTAGTCTCTGTATATGTCACTAAGTGTTATTATATTAAATTACCAAACTGAAAGCTCCAGACACATAATTAAAATCCGATTAATTTACGTAGAAACTTTAGCAATTAGGAGTTGCTACTGCATCCCGATGTGAGGGATATATTAGAGGGAGGGAATTATTTGGGGACCAAGTGAGAAGTTGGGCCTTGTAATCAGGGTTGTACGCTAAGTACCAGGGATTTCAACCCTCTTTTCACCCCGATGGGAGGGGAATTTATGTGACCAATTAAAGGCTTTTATAAAAGTTGGGCTTGTGATATAATTAACGGTCTTCCCAAAGAGGATTCTTTTACCACCCTCGTCCTTTGCTAAGCGTGATTAAAATATGATAAGATTATGAGAAGCAGGAAAAACTGCACATGCGCCTGCTGCTTTCATCTTTTAATTACGGAAGATTTAGTATCCGGAGCTTAAGGGTTTGCCTAAAAAGCATTTTGAGCAAAGGTACATTGTAAATTAAGAGTCTTCAGAGGAAAAGTTCATGTTTTTGAATAAAACTTAGACTAATAAATTTCTTCTGTAAAAGTTTAAATTAAAATGGCACTATGAACAAATCATAGTATAATTATATAAATGATTTAAAATGGAGACGCCACTATATGCGTATTTTAACCCAAATAATGAATGAAGGATGAGTGGCGTGATCTTGTAGTCTTGTTAGGGACTACTACTAAGGCTACTAAGGCCGACATATTCCTTACACAGAGCTGTTAATTAATAGCCCATACAGCCAATGGCAACTAAGGATCCTAAAGTACTTACTACCAAGAGACCACACTAAGCTGTAACCTTACAGTTATAATAGTCGGAGCTGGTACTATAATGTTGGGGAGTCTCTAGATAATGTCTGATTTACATGTTATTCAAATCAGCCAAGGGATGTCTTGACTTACTGACAGTATTGCATCATAATCTCCTTTGACTGACACTGTCTATTGTAAGCCACTGTTTGACAGGTTTATGAAATCTGAAGTAAATCCACAGTGTTACGAATGTTTCAGGACCAATTTCTATCAGATTCAAATCCAAATTCCGATACAATTCCAAATTTTCAAACAAATGTTCATGATCTTTGACAAATTAATTTAAATACTAGAATTGTGATCAGTCAACACAACACTAATCCGTATTTTGTATTTACAACAATTAACAATGATTAACAACGATTAAGCCAAAGAACTTTTTAAACAATTACGAATCCTCACTTTTTATGGCTTATAATATGTTCTTGACTGTTCATATAAGGTTTGTCAAAAACAATTTCAAGCTTAAATTAAGTTAATGAAAACAATCATAACCACAACACACGCAACAAAAAATAACTTTGTAATAAAAAATCATAATTTTTAGCTCTTCAACAGAAAGACTGTCAATTGAGGACATACATGAATTTTTTAAATACAACCCTTTAAAAAAGTCTGAAGGAATATTGAAAAGTCATGTTCTTATATTCTTTAGATTAATTAAAAATGGTTATACTCGTATCTAAGTTTAAGCATTAGTTTTACTTTATTTGACGCTATTCATACACAACTTTGTATACTTATGAATAACGATTCTTGACTATAACTATGACTAGGCAATTAATGGATCCAACAACTTTTCCGTTGCTGTTAAACCACTCTAACATCCCTTCAACCTAACCAATATATAACCCAATCTTTTCCACATTCAAACACCTTAACATACACCTATAAATTACATTCAATACTCACTGTCAAGCCACTTGGAGTCGTACTTCAGAGTCCGCTTGTAGCTGAACTCCTTGCGGCCGGTGGTCAGATTGTGCAGGTCCGTCCGGAAGATGACAGCGTCTGCCTTGGTAAACTCTGCGTTGGTGCCGGAGTACAGCGCGGGGAGTTCCCCAGGGTTGCCTCTCTCTACCCACACAGCTGTGGAGTTGTCGCTGGGGTCGTACGGACACTTGGCGATGCCGTTGCCTACGCCAGGGACGTATTCGCTGCGGTGGAGGTGCGTCAGGTTGGACTGTAACAAAAGTGGTGTTTTAAAAGTCTGTAGTGCTCACATAATCAAATGGTTCCCAGTTCAATCCTCAAAGTTAGAAGATGGTTCAAACTGGGCACAGCTGTATCTGTCTTGCTTGAACCACTATCTTCCGCAGACGTGTCCATTGGTTTTTCTGAACCTTTATGTTTTCTAATACTTGTTTTTTCTCTCATGATTTTGTCTTTGTGCTTTGACACACCATCTTCCGCAGACTAACCATTGTGTTTTCCAAACCTTTATGTTTTGTTCTAATTGTTTTTTCTTTCACGATTTTTTGCTTAGAGCTTTGACAACCATACATTTCTCTTGTGGTTTTTCTTTTGTGATTTTTTTTCTACGCCAGTGGCATTTCACAAGAGAAGTTACAAGAGATTAAATGTTTAGTGGATGTGCCGGGGATTGAACCCATCCCTCCCGCACCGAAGTCTGAGACACTAACCACTAGGCTAGCGACACAACCAATTTTGAGTTTCGAATTGGTTTACATCCTAATCTTACTATGTTTTGGCTACTTTTCTAGATGGAAAATGTTCAGAAAAATCCCTTACGTGAAATAAAAACTTAAAATAACTAAAAGTTACCTTAACCTTCAATCAATGGGTATGAATGTTTAGAGGTACTGTAGCATGGTAAAGCAAGTTTTCTTGTAGTAAGAGGAAGTCTAGGATTAGAACATTGAATAAATGAATTGTATAACAAATTTAAGAATACCTCTACTTAAAACTCCATGATGTTATAGCATATGAATCCCATCAGATAAGAGATATGTCCTATTCTAAAATTAATTGTCTTTTAACTACTTAATTGTCTTTTAACAAGTTAAAAACTCTAATTCATATTGATTAACTTTGCAAACCCTCTCAAATATGTTTGTTTGACATGACTTAAATTTCATCAAAATTGGAAAATTTCTATTAGATATCCAAAAAAATACAAAACATTTGCTGTGAAGTGTACACAAGTTCATGCCACTACCTCGGAAAAATATCCCTTAAAACAATTCCTAAGGAAAAATTAGTCCCTAATATTTTGTTTTGTCGATCAGGCAATGTTGACAGAAAGAAAGGTTAAGATAGAATACTAGCTTAAAAAATATAACCGTATAGATTTTAAATCAAATTGTGATGCATTTTTAATTTTAAAGATGACCGTGTCATTGAATTTTTACAAGTATATTTCAATGCCTACAAAGTGACAAGTTTTTAAATGTATAACAAATCATCAATACTTACATATATGACCCAGTCTTTTGGATTGTGAGCATTCGTTCCGCAAACGTATATTCTCGCTCCATCTCCAACTGGCTGTATCACTCTGATGTGATTTCTGCACTCAAAATGCTGAAATTGAAATATATGATTATTTAAATTAAAATTGAAAATCAACCAATTCAAGCAAAGCAATAACTTAACAAGGTAATTAATTGTTTGAAGCTTTTCACTTTCTTTAAAACAAACAGATAGAGATTTTGAGATTTTAGATCAGCATTTTGAAAGTGTTGAATGGATAGAATTTAGAAATATAAAAAATCAAGTGTAAATGCAATAGGTCTTATGTGTCTCTATATAGACCAATTAATATTTACTTTTCGTAGGTCCATTTCAGAGCTTTGCAATTTCGCAGACAGAACAGGAAAAATACTATAGTAATTCTACCACTCTATACCTAATTGTCACATTTGTTTTTGCTTATGAACATGTAGAGTGAAACACTCTATTTTAATAACAGTATACAGTGTGTAAATTAAGTCTTGAAACAAATTTGTATATTTAAAACAGAAATAGATAGAAATATTCTGTTTGTAGCATTAATTCTTAACAAAGGTTCCGCTATTTTTTACACCAAAAAATTGTATAACCCCCTAACAGAGTAGGGGGTAGGGGTTGACTTATTTTTTTCAAATAGCAACCCTTATTGAGTGGCCCATCATTTTGAAGGATTCGTCAAAAGAAACACAATGACACAAACAATAGGTGGATATCTCACCTCTAGCCAAAATGGTGGTTATTCAAAAATGGGTGCTTTTTCACTCAATAGGAGTTGTTATTTGAAAAAAATAAGCCACCCCCTACCCACTACCCTGTTAGGGGGGTTAAAAAATATTTTTAATGTAAAAAATTACGGAATAACCTTTACTAACGGTCAACGCTACAAACAGAATATTTCTGTCTATTTCGGTTTAAAAAATACAGATTTGTTTCAATACTTAATATACACACTGTATATTGGTTTGAAATTTTCAAAAATCTTATTGTTTTTACAATTTTAAACGATTATCATATATTTAGAAATAGTTTCATAATTCACTAACTCCATATCTGAGACACTAGATTGACACAAGGACATTGGGCAGTATCACCCAGTGGACCAACCGCTGTCCATCTACAACAACCCCGGTGAATAATTAATCATAATGGGTTGTATATCATGATAGAGCATTGGCATTGAGGACAATCAAACCTACCTCCAGGTGACATTATAGTAGTAATTGTATACCTGGAGAACTGCTTTGTGCAGTGATTGGAGTGGGGAAATTCTGTTGATTATAAAATATAGTCTGACTCAATGAAATGAAATCAAAAGATAGCTCGTGTTCATTAGGAGAAATAGTAAAGTAAAGTATTCGTGAAATTAAATCTACATATGGATTTCTTCTTAGTCAAAGTACGATTGAGTGACTTGAAACCTAAGTGTAGGTTTCTGTTGATTAAACTTATAGTACAACCTCAGTGATGAAATATTCAGAAGAAACATTCTTGTTAGTTAAAATAATATTATACTATTCAGTGACATGAAATAAGGATAAGTTCCTGTTATTTAGAAAATATTCTTCGAACAACCCTTTTACCACAGTCAACGAGTCAACACTTTTACCACACTTTTTTAACATTGCCTATTGCTTGCTGTGTTAAATGGGTGAACAAGTTGATTTATTTTCTTATGTTACAATACTCACTTCAGACTTCCCTTTGGACACACAGCTTGCCACACTGCTCGGTTCTAACGTCAGGGAATCTCTCTGAAAAACAAAACAAGGTAAATATTAGTAAAACATGTTCATACAAACTCCAACAAATCAGTTTAACTTGTATGGAATAAAAAATTTAATATTTAGGTACCAAAGATATTTTTTATTAATTCCTCTATTTACTAAATGACATAGAGCAAACACAAAGTAGTGTTAGAAACAGTATAATTTACAGTTGTACCTTAATATCTCACTGTCTGTTTACCAAATGACTAGATTTGTGTTTGTTATCTCATTCGCATTGTTGTTTTATTTAATGCAACACCAAGTAAATATTTATTTGTACCTCGCATGTCTCATCTTACTGGAGTTTACAATATTTTCAAAAGAATTAGATAATGGTAAACAACGAAAACTTAAATTCTCTTTTTTGTAAATACATTTTCTATCAATGGATCAAAAACAATGTCTGAAGTCATACATATATATTGTTAAGCTGATATTGCTTACTCCTTTCCATTACTTTGATATAGAGTTTATATTGTTGTAATAGCTAAAAATATAATTTAAAAGTAAATTCAACAAAACCTTAAGGCAAAGAAAATAATTATTAATGCAATCCTTCGATGTTGTAATTTTTATTTTGTAAGTAAACTAGTATTCAGGATGGTTTAGTTTTTCAAAACTTTCTCAAGTCAGAAAGTTGATTATTTATAATAACACTACGTTATCTGTTTGAGATTAATTATATTTTTACTGCAACATACAGGATACTTTTAGTAACAGTTTTGCAACAAAGACAAATTTCTAAGAATTCTTCACTTACTTCACAGTTGGATTGGTTGATGTTGCTCAGATTCAGCTTGTAGACTCGGTCCCTGTAAAACCAAGTGTAAGCGTAAGATAAAGTAGTAAATAGTGTACACGTTTCTGGGGCTAAACCAGTACAATGCACATTATTGGTTAATAAACCTGTTTGAAAAATAAGGATAAACTGTCTCTATCACAAAATTATGACTGAAAGTAAATCAACTCAAAAATAGTATTCCGAACTGTTTATTAAACAGATTAATAGGCAAGCAACTGTAGTTTAATTAGATTTCTGTCAATTTTTATTTATAATCTAAAATATAATATTCATGTCAGCAATTTTGCCCTAGACCTAGAAGTAAACACTCCCATATAAACTCTGGATAGGGCTATCATTTCATGGTTTTAAGTGAGTCTAACCGGTTAAGCCAGCAACAGTACAGAACTTTTACGTTAAAACAACATTAATTCATGAACCAAACCCAATTCCGATTTCCCTAAGGACATTTATTTTAGTTACTGAATATAGGAAAAACAACGTTTTTAATGGAACTGACCTCTAGACAAACAATGGATAGGCCTAGCATACTACAGTTTAAATTCTCAAAAATTATATATTCGATTTTAGATTAATTTATTTGCCAACCCAACAGGGGTTTAAGGCAAAGATTAGTGAAGGATGAGTGTTGAATTAATACTTTGGTAACTTTTTTAGTGACTTAGATTCAGCTGGTTCTTTTACCACAGGCAATGGATCGAACTGGCTGTCTCCTGACTACCAGACAAACACTATTACTACCAAGCTACCCATCAACACAAATAATAGTATTATCTATATTCTATGCCCCTACACATTTTCACTTCGAAACCAGCTAAATTCCCCATTCAAACAGCACAGAACAGTGCAGCTTTTATCATTCAAAACAGGGGCTTTTAAATCCAAAGCGGATACCGACAATCGTCTTAACGACGATCCACTCGTAGTAAAAACTAATGGAACCACCGCAGCGGGGGGAGGGGGGAGGGGGGTATTTACCTGGCCGTGATCGCATCCATCACGCTATTTACCCCCCCCCCCTCTATATCCCCCCGGGGGTGTTTACCCCCGGGAATTATTAAGTAATGACAGCATCGCCTGACTACCGGGCCATGAGTCATCCACGGCACAGCTTGGTCGATACAGGGTGCTTCAAATGGCAGCGATACTACGATACTGCCACTTACCGAACATAAAACACCCATCACGAACACGGCAACATTCGCCATTGTGTTTCAATCTGGGTTGGTCTTTTGTTGATGGATGAATTTTATACTACTGTCAATTTTGCTAACCTTGTAAAACGTTAAAGGAATCTTTTCGCACATTTTCCATTAGGTACTATAGGGGAAAAAAACTAATTTGCCACGTGTAGAAGTAGCTAAAACAATAGCAAGTGGAACAGAAACCCAGACAAAGTCGGGAATCCCTAAAACAGTTAAACGTTGGGTTCGAAACTGGCACCAGTTGTCCTTGATCGTTGTGCGAAAATGGTCCTGGCTAAGAACCACATTCTCTTATAAAGACGAAAAAACCAAATTAAACTACTGTACCAAATAAATCTACCCAAGACTAAGAGAAAAACATGCACGTCCCATCAACGTCTCCTATTGCCTACTGATTAAATATATTATCAAAAAAATAATAGACTTTTTTAACACTACAAATTCACATGCAGTGCCAAAGACCATGTAAACTATGATCTAAAACTGCCTTGCCCCGTTAAATAAGTATATGCGGCTCCTAGAGTCAAACTTGGGTAAAACACGTTCTAGGCTTACGGATGGAGCCACAGACAATAGACCATCTTTCGTAACCATCGACCGTCTTTCGTTCGTTACAGACAATGATAAAACATAGTAAAATAGGCTTCAAATCATGCAAAACGCCAAAAATTTCACTTTCAGTATTAAAAATAAATCATTAAACCAAAATCTCACGAAGCCCCTAATATTCCATAACCCCGAAGGCTTTTCAATATACATACCCAAAATCCTACTAGCCACAATAGCCATAGGCAATAACTACTGTATTATCCAAGTTAGATCCCTTAACCCCGGATTCAATTAGTAAATATTTGCGGCTCCCGGAGTCAAACTCTAAGTACCGGTACACCACCCCCCTGTAAGGACAGTGAGGAAGGGGGTGGGGGGTTAGAAAGTCTCATCCTCACTTGAGATCTCCCCTCGCCATTAGGACTATGGACCATTAGAACAGCCATAACTCAGACCTCGCAATCCCTTCGCGGCCGTTACTATGTTTCTGGTAGCCTCCATCTGATAGGCACCCTTACTCCGCCCTTGTGCATACGTCCACCCTTCCCCTGGCTACTTGGACTTGGCTCGCTACTTTGAATACGGTTCAATGGAATCACATGAGAGTGTAACTGTGCTTACATCGTCAAAATGTATTGAGCAAATTACTATGAAAGTAACGATAAGAGCAATCATTTATCCTAGTAGGCTAGAACCAATAAATTCGTGATGTTCAAGTAGAGAAATAATTTACATGGACCGTAAGGCAATTTTTAACAGAAATAGAACATAGTTGAATGTATCTTTACAGAATGAGATATGAAAAGTTATCTGATTGACATAAAGAATTGTATACAGTAATTTGCAATCTGTTGCCTTTCGATCGGGTTGATTAACAGGTTAACGGATTCGAAAGAAATCAGTACCTATTTAACAGAAGCAGAATCTAACCAGATCTTTCCAGTTTTGACTGGGTTTGTATACTAATCTTGATATGTTTTGATTACTTTCCCATCCGGATTATATTCCAGATCCCGAAGCGTAGTAAAGACTGGTTTTAGCCAAAATATTCTCTCAAATAACATACTACTAAAAATGGTATTCAAACACAGTCTTGTGTATACTCACATGGCGCCGACGTAGAGAGCATCTCTCTTCTCGTCCAGATAGAGTGTGCGGTAGTACATCTTGCCACACGTAAACTCGCGTACATGATCTGGAACAGGAGAAAATCAACTGTTAAACACATCTAATCAGCAATACAAAATTACTAAATTTGGGCTACTTCTTTGTGTCCCATCTGTTCCGGAGGAAAAACATGTTAGGGTTTTGTAAGGGAACGGGAGGAAGATCCAAAAAGTGTATAAAACAATAAGCATCCAATGCTGTACGATGAGCATTGTTTTAAAGCACTACGATTAGTCAGTATCGATGTATTCGACATGAATTAAACTCTAGTATCTTTGGTATGCGGCTTAGTAGTGAACATTGGCGTATTTTATCACTGGAAAACGCGGCTATATCCTAAAACCCGAGATTTTGTAGACCGTATTTTAATTTGGCCGTAGAGGCTAACTTTTAGATGGATAGATGTAAAATTTAAACTACATTCTTTATAAGGGAGTAAGTGTAATCGATGGTTTCACCTAAATTTAAGTACACCAGAATAACGATAAATTAATTGAGTTAACTTCAAATAGCCTCAAAGGTGGATTGCTACAAGGCATCCAACTTAGGCAAGTATTTTCGCCAACTCAACGCTATCTCCGGAACATCAAGATTACACAGTATACTTTGTACCCTGGCACACTCCCTTGGTTTACGTCAGAATAAATTAACTTGAAATCTATAAGCTTACAATTGTAAACCCACCCCATCGTACATTCCTACAGCCCGTGCCCGATGCGTGTTTACGTTGCCGTGCGGTTAACAACACGACGTAGCCGGCGCCACTACGTCTATAACATTTTCATATCATTAACTACCGTTTCCGAAATACCAGCCGGCAATTAACCTACCCCTGCAATAAACGTTTATATCGGTATTGTTTTTACAGTCAGGCAGTTATCGAGCACGAGTTACAACGTGCGTGCGCAAAGGTCAACAATGTCAAGTGATTTTGTAACTAACGGAAACACAATTAACGTTTCATTGTAGTGACGTGATTTTTACAAAAGTGCATGTTGGGGTTTCAGGGATTTTTTAAGGTATTATATGTTATTTTTAGGATTTTTTGTGGGTTTAGGTCAGTGTTTTGTGGAAAATTAGTAGGATAAAGGTAAATGCTACGATCTAAGGAGTGTGATTTACATTTCACACATGAGTTCAACAAAGTTAATTATTTTTTTAATGAACGAGAATACAATAAAGTTTTACAGTGTTAATGTGCTTTTTAAACAAGTTAAGTTTGGGTTTGCAGTATATTTTGTGGGGTTAGTTTATGTGTGGCTTATTAGTAATATGCATATTGTAGAGGTAGCGAACTTAGGAGTGCTATTTAAAGACGCCATATACGATACTGTAAACAGAAGGGGCTTCTATGTGTACTATTAACTTTTAACTAGTTATACCAAAATGATAATGTTTGAAATACAAGCTTCAAACCATTTTATGATACAACTTAAATATTCATTTGGCAAGGGTTTTCACTGTTGTAATGTTCAAAGTTCGACTGTATTCGTTTCAAACCTACTGTTGGTTTCATTTCAACCATCCTTGTGTAAAATTACACTAATTGATTACACCTAACCCTATTAATAATTTTTGTTCTTTTAATTTCTGAGAACATCTTCAATGACTGATAAGTAAACTAATTTTTAGGTATAATACAAATTGGATGGTATGGTATCGTGTTTCTTAACTTTCATATATATCTTAGGGTTTGTCTACGGTGTTTTTACAGATTTTGCAAGATTTTGTTGTGTTTAATTTAACAGTTAGTTGTGAAAGTATCAATCAAAAACCCAATAACACTTGGTTCCTTTTGTAACACAATACATTTTTTATATGCATAGTCAAATCATAAAGAGTAATTAAATGACGAAATAAACACAAAAGAACGTCGGTGCTACATTTTTGACATCGAAAATCTTACTCACGGTTAGCGTTAACCAAATTGTCTCAATACCTCAAATTTTCAAAAACAACTTTTACTGTACTACCAAACCAATCATACATTTCAACCATCTAAACAAAACCATACGTACAACTTATATCTAAGATTAACCTCAAATAAACCAACTGGGACATTTATCTTTATCACACGCATACACGATAAGGCGGACAATAGGGAAATCAGGTGTAAATCTTTGGTCACGTGAGGCGATAAATAACCTTAAAAGACCAGGGAAGAAACGTGTTATCAGCCAGAGGGGAGGTGACGAGAGATAACGGACGACCTTGAGTAGTTAGGGGGTGGAAGGGTGCGGGGGGGAGGCTGTGATTTGTACGTAGGGGAGAGTTTACGATGCCAATTTTTCTTACTCGACCCTACATGACAAACATACCACGATGTCGAGACTTCATAGCGACCTGTAGCCTTATTGTTATGTATAGGGGAGACAGGAGAAATATGATGGGACAGGTTCAAAAATACATTGAGAGATTTACAAGATAAAATAAATGTTGGCGGTACGAACCTCAGGTGGAATATTATAGATGCATATATTTGCTACCTAATTCAGTGTAACCTCCTAGGTAAACAAAATAAGCTCCAAATTTATATGTGTCAAAAGGTTTTTGAAACCACCCTCAAGGATCTTACTGTAATTTATCACTTCTCGTCTTGAATACAAACTTAACCTTAATATATGACGGTGACAATGTCCACTATATTATCTTAAAATTTTATCCCGGTCAAACTATAATGATTAGAACCCCCCCCCAAAAAAAAAATTCTAATTCAAAGCACACTTCACAAAAATGCAAGTTAGGTATACAAAATAATGTATACAAATTTTGATAATTTAAATAAATAACTATTTTTTATTTTTTACAGCGTACACTGAGGGAAAAAACAAATATCCCCAACAAATTAACCGGTGCAACAGGGAAATCTAACAGGTATCACATTGGGTTATCATCAAACAAATAGACAATGTTCCATTCACAAAGACGTTTCCCGTACGTATAAACAGAAACGGAAAGTAAAAGTAGATTCCGCAACGAGGGATCGAACAAGACCACAACGCAATCATGAAGTTTGTCTGTCGTGAGCAGAGAACAGGCAAACGGACGTGTCGCCTTTGACACAGACTAGGTAGAAGTTCATTAAAAACCCTCTTCTCGCAGCAGACGAGAAATAACGTCAATTGTGAGGTGTAGCTTTGTATTCCCTTCAACTGTAATTCGGGGTTTAGGCCGGAACTTTGGGATTGGTAACTAGGGCAAGGGAACTAAAGGTGTAATTTAAGTTTATAAATGACTGTTATGCAATACACAGTGTAACCTCAATGATAAGACCCTCGATAAAAAGTGGCATTTGATAACAAAAGTGCCATTTTAAATGCCCTTGATTACAAGTTATTGCAAACCTCAACAAGTCTTATTTGGTCATCCCCATGATGGACTTATTATCGAGTTTCTACTATATAACAATTTCATAATTGTCGCATTGTTTTCGGGTATCCGAATGGTTGCAATACATATCTGTGAACTATGTGTGGTATTGTTTTTTTTCAGTTTTGGAGGTTGCTGGTACGATTCTAAGCGAAGACAATTCTCGACCTTAGGTGCGATTTGTTAGAAAAAAATATAAATAATGTTTGTTTGGATATAATAATGTTTCTGTCCAAAAATGTTTGTCATATATTGACAAGACGAGAGTCTAAACCGTTCCTCTAGGAAGGTTCCAACGGCGTCAAACACAAAAAACAACACTTTCCTTTTATGCTGTGAATCCAGATGTTAAGACAGTTTACAAGTACTTCGAGTAGTTAAAATTTAAATGGTAATACAAATTGGAAACAAAATAGTAAATGTCGAAACACCCTGTACATCAACCGGGTAAAATCACATCTTAATGGTGTTCAGGCGATTCTCAACTGCGAAAAATCTTGAAAGGGACAATGTCTACTGAATTATGGTAGTCAATCAGTACTAATTTAAGTACAATACTACCCAATTTACGTACGAGTTAGAGTATTCTGTACTCATAGTGCAAATTTAATTTAACACCAATAAAACACTAAGCCAGACTGTTTTGCAACATGAAAGAGTATCAAGTAGAACGCAAAGCAGTGTTATCTGTTAAGCCTTAGCCAGACATTGTGTCAAACACGGCATAATTAAAGGGTTGATCAGCTGGGCCTCAATTTGGGTCTTAACGAGACATCAAAGACAACCACCCGAGTCTGGATAAAACTGGGGATGTGTCGCACATTTAATTGGAATGTTCTGATACAAGTGCACTGAACCCGTTCTACCTCCCTTACAATGCGATTACCGTGATCTGACTGTGGAAATGAGGATTAGCGGAGTTGTAGCTTACAGTATCTAGAATACCAGTAAAATATAAACCATTTGTGAAACAAAAGATGCTAAACGATTGGTTGTTTGGCATAATCTTGCATTGTTATGCGATAAGTTTGATAGCTAGGCAAAACAGTGTTCTTGACTTACATGACGTTAACCAGCGGATATTATTTTGAGTAGAGCTAATCCAAAGCGAGAGTGTGATGGAGAATTTCCTTGCATAAGTCAACTAAATCAATGTTCTAGGCATGATAATGTATCCAGCAATATTCCAATTTTACTTGAAGTAAAACTAATGTGATGTAATGGGCTCTTTCCTCGCATAACCCAATTCAGAATTAATTTTAGGCTTCAACGTCGTCAGCAAAAACACGCAGATTTCCCCAAAGCTATTTCACAGAGTACTTTAAAATACTTACCTTCCTCATAAAAGTATTAAAAAGGGATATTAAAAGGGAATGTTCATACATGCAGTGGTTGTAATAGTCTCGAAACAAATTCTTAATCACTTACATATTGTATTAACAATTATGAAGGTATTTTGTAAAACTAATAACAACTCCATATTAATTTTTCAGCTGCTAACACAGTACAATGTGAAAGTAATAATATTTGTTCCACACAATAAAAAATACTAAATTTTCGTTCAAGCGTTACGACTGTTACTGCATCTATCGAAAAAAAATAACAATGTCAAAATGAATAACTTTACATTAACCTCAAGTCTAACCAATACACACTAAA